ATCTTTCTTCTATCATTGACAGTCCCTCTAGGTTGTGGGCTGCTTGCCTGTGTTCCTGAGAAGCATCTACGGTACCAGTCTATAGAGTGTGTTTTCTTTAGTGAATTACCGGTATGTTTACCGGTAATAAACTTGCACTGTTTTATGTATATGTTTGATTACATACAGCCTTGTGACAGTTTTCCTGCATGTCATAAGCATTTGAATATAAATTAAAATGTTAAAATCAAATCTGGTATTGTTTTACCTTTTATTTGGTGTGTGGAAGGTGTGCGGAAGAGGGGGTAGTCTTATATGGCGAGTATATAACAAACTCTGTATTTTGAGTGGAAATGTTAGGGGGTCGTCTTATACGCCCAGTCGTCTTATACGCCGGCAAATACGGTATTCTATTTAGTAGGTGTTTTGTCACAAGTCATCCCAATTGTGCTGCAAATTAGCATGATATTTGTATAATGACATGTTTGCTTTTTAAAGTGTTCTCAATACAATACCCACATTTAAATGATTTGTGCCAGTGTCACAGGGCAAGGATCAATCATAGAGCAACTGAAGTCATAAAATGGAAGAATTCCTGCAATTATGAAAATGGGACTTACATGTCCCCAAACTGGGCACAATGGGGATCCCTGAAAATATGGGAGGAAACAGATTTTTTCTATTCAGTTACTTGTCTGGGATTAGTTTCTTATTTAAATGCACAATAAGAGCTAAAGAAAGGCTATTAGCCAGTCAGCCAAGGTTTCCTTTTATTTCTGCTTAAACAAATCAGTGATCTGGAACCAGGAAAGCTCTGTTCAAATCAAAATTTCACCGAACCAATTGCAAATGGCATTAGAATGAAATTGTTCAGAATGCATTTGATGGTAATTAACATTTTCTGCTGTGCTAAATATTGCCCTGCAGCGAACCATTTGGAAACTGGAATGAGTATTCTCTGGGAAAATTCGGAAAGTTCATATGTTAAAATCAGATAGGTTAAACTTCCCTATTGTTAAAATATGCAGGGATATCTTAGCTCCTTGACATTGAGGTATTTTCTTTCTCTCTTTTGACTGGAATAGATATGAGGACAGTATGGCTTGTATGAAGTTTTAAAATGGGAAACAATATTTAAAGTTGTATTTCTGTATATAATATTATGTACAAAAATGATCTCAAATTTCCTATTTTAGATAAAGAGATTTGTTACTTTTAAAATATCAAGCTTATGACTATGTTGCTCCCACCTAAAACTGTTTTCTTCTTGACGACTTACTGATGAACAGAAGAAAATGCTGGCAGAAAGGATTACAAAAGAAATCCATTGTTTTAAATGATTCTAATATCAAAATAGCAAGGTATTGCTAATACTTGGTACCCATAAGAATTATTTTTCAAACCAGCAGTGATTTTTATAATTATAATTTGTTTTTGCTTTTAATTTTTATTTATATTAATTATAGGTTTATTTTTCCATGTATCAATGGTTATTGCTATATCCCACATATTTTATATGGTACTTTGTCCATAGTAGATATTTATAAAATTTGAATGAGTGTTTGAAATATTAAGGAATTTATGTATAACCCTTTCATTATTTTCAAAAACAAAAAAGTCTCAAAAAGGTGATGCACAACAATGTACTGAGTGATTTTAATTATGGTTTCATGTATATAATATGTAATATTTTGCTGGCTTCCACTTTACTTGTATTGTAAAGTCTTAGATCTCCAGTGAAAAAATATTAAACCAAGATAAAAAAAAATCAAAGAAGATCTTCCTGAAAATATTAATGACTTAATTAGGGAAAATACACATGAAAGTTACTTACTAGGAAGTTCTGGTGGAGGAGTTGGAACCAAAGTTGGCTCTGGATAAAGACTGACATTGCAAATCCCATGTGTTAGGCTAATGTCATCCAATGCGATATCACTCAGGAGCTTGTTTTTAAAAGCACTGAAGGACACCTGTAATTCAGAGAGCCATATGAAAGGATTCCACTCCAGCATTCTCTGACTCGGTTCTTCTTAATGGCCCAATATTTTCTGCAGAACCAATTCTGCCATCTCCAAATATCTGAGAACAGGTTACTGGACAGGGAAACGTTGGTGGATCATGTTTTTCAAGGTCTTTCATTTGCCCCCAGCTCCCTTACTCTGTGTTCATGCTAGTCTAAATTTTCAATAGTTAGGAAACATTGCCACAGTTTCTGTCTCTGTCTTTCTCTCTCTCTCTCTCTCTCTCTCTCTCTCTCTCTCTCTCTCTCTTTCGATGTTGTCCTACTCCACTGTACTCTGTCCGACAGGGGGAAGCAAACTTCTTCCGGATTCTTCCTCCAACAATATTAGATAGCCAAGTAACTGTCTGCCTTCTCAGAGCATATAAGCCTTGCAGAGAAGATACACTGATTCAATCACTGACATTAGGAAGAGGGGGGCAGGGGAAAATATGAGTACAATTTGATAATTTAGGGCCAGCTGATACTGGTTGTAGTTTACCCAAAATAAGGTGTGAGATACTGTGTGAGGGTGATGCCCAAAGGACACAGAACTAGACTGGAGAGAAAGGTCCATATGAAATAAATAAATATAACTGAATATCTGTATATGCCAAATTACTATGCAAGGTACATACTTTATACTTTATCTTATTTCATTCTCCCAACATTATTATACAGTCATCTATTCACGCATTTGTTCATTCATTCCACCTACTTCATGGCAGGTGCTATTCCAAATCAAGGTGATTTTTTCCCCCCTTTCATGTTTGTGCAAGCTGAATTTCAAAGACACATACAGGATTTGTTCAACATGTCACAACAAAGTGCTGAGACCAAGGTGACAATATTTGTAGAATTTCACGCTGTCACCCTGCTTGATGAGCTACCTTTGAAAAAGTGGTTCCAGTTTTATTACTTTGAAAAACATGCTCAGTGAGTTAGAGCCAGAGCTGGCCCCTGCAGTGCTTACGTCCCTGCTTCTGCTAGTTTCTGTGTTCCCTTGAGGTTTCATTTCCTTTACCCTTCCCTGAATTATCATAAAGCCATCAAAGATGGAGAGAAAAAAGGACTTCTCAGAATGGAAGGAGAGAATCAAAAAAAAAAAAGGAAAAAGGAAAAAGGAAAGAAAGATGGAAGAAATACAGGCGAGGGTCATTGATTATTGCCCACTTTATACAAAGTCACAGGAGAAAACTGAAGGCTTCCAAGGACAAGGTCGATCCAAAAATACATCTTCTAAAAGTTACACTCCCTTGTCTGAAGTTGCCCAATTAAAACATTGTTAATTTGGTCAAACTATTAGCCTATATCAGACCATATTTTAATTACAAATGCCCTTAAGAAGAGAACGCATTAAGCTGTTATCTGCAAAATTAACTCACCCTAATGTGAAATAAATGATTGGAGATTTCCCAATGACACAGCTCATAGAATTTGTTTTTAAAGGAAATGCAGATGAAGTCAGAGTGAGGCAGGGTGGATGGATACTGGCAGGTGTGGATGTGCTAATAGGGAAGGATATTCCCCCAGAAAAATGCATGGCTGATATGGGTGGTATTTGTAAAAAGTTGGAAGTCTAATTAGGCAGGGTCATAGGAGGATACAGTTAGCTTGTGCTAGGATATTGCTGAAAAAAAAAAAACTGAAATATCCTACAAAGTTTTCATGGATTGTATGGCTCTTTATAAGTAGTACTATCCTGAAGCGAATTGTTCCCCATTAAGTGGTTTTTAATAAGTCAATGAATAAGTAAAAATAGAGGCATTCAAAGATTAAAAATAGAAGATGAATTATGAAAGTGTCTTTTCTATATTTAGAAAATAAATTAAGTTTTTC